CAAGTAATTACCAAGTGTGTATCTTTTTCATCATTCATCTGAGTAACACAATTGGGTTGTGCCTGTTTACAGCACAGCTGCAATATTTGCACCTTTTGGCTGGCCGACACATCCAGTTTTATTTGGCATTTGTTCACCATGTTAGCCATCCAAGCCAAGTATGTATGATATCTTCTTTTGTTTGCATTCACCAACTGTCAACTCTGGCAGAAAAGTTCTGGTTGCTCATTCACTTCTGAACTTTGGTCTTTCCAGACCTTGAATTTTGCATGCATATCTGTTTTACAGATTTTACTTATTTACAGATTGTTGGTTCCTCGCCTCTCTGGTAGATGCCCTCCGACTTTGAAGGATACAGCCCTGATTAGACGACTTTTATGACATGCTTGTTAAGTGGGCAGTAGGTTTGTTCTCTTAAAAACCCAAAACTGGGCTCCGCAACCCACATGGAGAAATGTATATGAAATAGCTGTAACTCAACTCTAAGCCAATAAATGCTAGGAGCGGCGATGCAAATACAGTAATACCTTGGGTCAAAACTTGATTCGTTCTTTGACTCTGTTCACAAACCAAAATGTTAGCTAGCCGAAAATTGTTTCTTCTAATTGAAATCAATGCAAATCCAATTAATTTGTAAACGGAGGTAGGACTGTAGTCAAGGATTGTAATCAAAATATGGCAGGATTCTAATCAAATGTGGCTAGATCTTAGTCAAAAGTGGCAAAAAAGATTGTAAATAAATAGTGAACGGTTGTAGTCAACGATGGCATACATTAAAAATGTGATTCCAAACTCCAACAATGATATAGAAGTGTTAATGTGTTGCCAAAAAGAACAACCAATAGTTTTAAAAGAGGTGGGAGCCCGAAGACAACTTATCACAGACATTAGAAGGAGACAGTCATCATTTTTCGGCCATGTTATGAGAAGAGGGAAAAATGGAGCATGTTGTAACCACTGGAAAGATCTGAGAAAGGAGGGATAGAGGAAGACAATGAGAGAAGATTGTTGACAGTCTTGTAGCATGGCATGGAGGTGTGTCAGCACACGAACTCATACATGCTGCAGGAGATTGCAGATTGTCGAGAGGCATGATCACCCATGCCAGTCGGCAAGGCACATGATGATGATGATGTGTTCACAGTTCTTGCTCAGTTTTCAAAATCACTATACACATTTGTTAAAAGATGCATTATCTTTAATTCGTTCAAATTACATTCTGAAAAAAAATCTTTCTGTCTGTTTATCATAATAAAATTAGCTGCATGGCATCAGCTATACATTCCATTCATTATTTTATCCACTTACACAGCCAGGTACACCAGGATAGTAGTATCTGGTGTAGCTGCTAGGGTACACTTATTATAACCACTTGAGAAAGTTTAGCTGGGTATCTAGCAACCCTAATTACAAACATCTTAGAAGGCTGAACTGGGTATCTAGCAACCCCAATTATAAACATCTTAGAAGGCTGAACTGGGTATCTAGCAACCCCAATTATAAACATCTTAAAAGTTTAAACTTGGTATCTAGCAACCCTAATTACAAACATCTTAGAAGGCTGAACTGGGTATCTAGCAACCCCAATTATAAACATCTTAGAAGGCTGAACTGGGTATCTAGCAACCCCAATTATAAACATCTTAGAAGGCTGAACTGGGTATCTAGCAACCCCAATTATAAACATCTTAGAAGGCTGAACTGGGTATCTAGCAACCCTAATTACAAACATCTTAGAAGGTTGAACTGGGTATCTAGCAACCCCAATTATAAACATCTTAGAATTTTTAACTTGGTATCTAGCAACCCTAATCATAATCATCTTAGAAGGTTGAACTTGGTACCTAGCAACCTCAATTATAAACATCTTAGAAAGATGAACTGGCTATCTAGCCAACTCAGTCATAACCACCTGAGAAGAATGAACTGGATATCTGGGGTTTGTCCTGTTGGATTTATATCCAGCTAGCTGTGGTGTCAAATCTTTAGGTACCAGCCAAGAGAGGAACAATAGTTTCAGCAGTACCTTCATAAGCAAGCCCATATTGTTATAACTCAGATTAACTTGGGTTCAGTAATTAACATCAGTGCACTAGGAACATATGCTATTTCCTCAATGAAGAGTTCTATACTGATGGTACCACTGATTAAAAGTCTGCATCTCTTATCCCCTACATACTGAGTGTTGTTACGAATATGTGCTTATTCTCTACTGAACCAGCTCTTCAGACGAAGATACTCTATTCTGCTGCACAATCAACTAGATCCAAGACAGCCCTGACCTCATCTACCTTACATAAAGTAGCTCTCCATTCAAAAGTAAAGCCACAGCCTATCTATCAGCTTGTTTATTGCCAGACATACATTCATGACCATATAATAAAATTCCATTCCCGGCACGGTAACTATAGCTTTAAATTTTTATGTTGTTTAGTGTGTCCTTACATCTACTTCTTTCTATGAGCACTTTTTGTTATATATAATATTTCTACGGCCTCAAGGGTTCCCCCTCTGTTTATTCATGACCTTGGAAGATAATTCATGATACGATCCTGGCCTGTGTTCTAATGTTCATCTGCTTTGTTTTGTGCAGAGTGGCATGTCTGGCTGGCACCTGCCAATCTTTCCAGATGAGAATGTTTTACTTTGGATGGGAATCATGGTTCACAGCGATTTGAATGTGACTAGCAGGACCATGTCACATTCAGAAGAATCTTTCATAATAAGTGCATGAGATTTCAGGACCAGTCCTGCGATCACATGTATATGACATGTGTCTTCTCAGACACATCTACTAAGGAAACTTTCCAGCCTACGGCTTTGAGAGAGGGGATTAAAATATTGAGTGCAGCCGGGGAAGATCAAGGCCTGGGAGTCATGACCCACCTTCCAAGATTGTATAGGAATGGTAACAGGCTGAAAGAATTGTAGACGAGGGGTCTTTCTACTGATGATCGGTAGATCCCTGCTGTACATGTTCCCCTGTGGAGTTTTTCTTATGGAGTGGTCACGGTGACCATCAGCAAGGATAGTTACATTGTCTGTCTAGTCGGTAGTTGAGGTGTCAACTTCAATCTCAACAAGTCACCCTATTAGTGCTCTCTTCCTGTACCAGTAAAAATCACATGAAAAGTCCATCATTGTCCCACTTAAAAACCAGCGTCTATTTAACCAGCTAACAACAAGGTACCGGCATCTATACCTTCTGACTTTTACTGGGAGAGACTCAGCACTTATGATTTTGTTCGCAGTGCAGTAATAAATCAGAAATAATAATACTGGTTAGAGTAAACAACTGAATTAATTTGGAAGAAGTCAAGAGTGTCTGGTTGGTTGCAAATGTTATCAGTTTGTAATTATCTTTCTATTATCTGAACTAAAGTGAACAGAATAAGCAATACACAATCTTGCATATACCATTGACTGTTTGCAGTCTGTCCCCTCCAGGATTTCAGCCCACATGATTAATATTTCGAGGGTCATAATCCTATTTATACCGAATCCAGGTAAGCCCCACTTAACTATAAGTTTATATTAGGGTTCCCGACAGTTACGAATTAACCTGAAGTCCGGACTGGGCAGGAGCAACAATAGCATGCTATTGATATGGTGTTGCTAGTAATATATTATTTAAACTACTCATACTGGTCCCAAAGTCGGATGCATGTTTTTGGGTGTTTTTTTTTGGAGCCTCACCCTGGCTGTTGCCGGGGGCCCTAATATAACCCAACCTATGGGTTGGACAGGGTTTCTGGGATCTGACCCCAAGTGATCCTCCTCTGAATGGTGGCACTTAGTGTCACTGGGTATTTATCGCTCGGTGTGATGTGCTGATGTTGCAAGCAAAAATTGAGCAAGAGTTATATTCAAGCCCTTGTGGAGCAAGTAAATAGGCACAATGAAGCACGTTGATCAGGTATTAAATTCCAAAGATGATAACTATGATAATGAGCAAAGAGGGAAGGTCAACAATGAAAATGAAAGCAAACAGGAAATTCATAAGTAATGACTGAAGTGAAATTTAAAAAAATATTTAAAAAAAAACTGTAAAAAGTCAATACAAATGGGCAAAAATATTTTTTAACAACATGATAAGAATATTACCATTAAGAAAAAAACAACAAATAAAAATCAGAATTTTTAAATATGTATGAAAAATGGTCAATATATGTTACACTTTACTATGAAGGTGTCAAGGCACATACCTGGAAACTGGTGAAAACTTTAACTCCTACATACATATTCATTTCCTCATGAAGCATCTCTCCCATGTTTTCTTTACATGAATGCTGCTCCGATTACACAATTCCCTGTGTGGGTTCCCAGCCCCAATTTGGGGGTGGGGGGGGGGGAGAAATAATGGACCCACTGCCCCCTACCCCCATGCATGTCATTCAAAGCAACTAATTAGGGATGTTTCCTTCAAAGTTGAAGTGCATCTGCCTGACAGGCAGGGAACCAACAGTCTGCATACAAACAAGCCAGATCTGTGAAGCGGAGGTATGTGTAAAACTCATGTTCTGGAACAGGATCAAAGTCCAGAAGTGGACGAACTGCCAGAACTTTCTGCCAGAGTTTATACAACCGGTAAACGCTAAGTAGAAGAAAAGGAAGAGGAAGACTAAAACTTCTGCTCCTGGGTCAGGAGAGTAAAGTTAGTTGCATATCCTTTACAGGATGTTGCAGAACCAACCCCAGCATTATTTGGCTGTTGTTTTCAAGGCAAATGTTTATGTTCAATAGTTTGCCATTGCTTTCTGAATAGTCAGCTGTCCGTTTCACTGTCGAAACCTACGCAAGACAAATTGTCCGCAGCTGGGATTGAACCCGGCACTATGAAGAATATATTTATTATATGGAGAATATATTTATACATAAATGACAACAGTTCAAAACCCAACAGGGCTGTACATGCTGCAGACGCTGACATGTAGATGTCAGTCATGAATGCCATGGCACGCTGAGGCTCGCACCCTTCACAATGTAATATGATCACAGTGTTAGGAGAGTTCTCCTATTGGAGCATTCTCCAGCCACAGATCGTGTATAAACGTGTACAGGGCTGAGCTGACAGACACCTGTGATTGGCGGAATAAAGGGAAGAAACAAACAAGCTATTAGACTCATTCATTAATATTTTTTTAAGCTGTTGTCATGAAGAAAATAGGAAATGCAGGAAGGAAGGGAAGAAAGTAAGAAGGAAAGAAAGACAGAAAAGTTAAAGCAAGAAAGAAAGAAAGAAAGAAAGAAAGAAAGAAAGAAAAAAGAAAGAAAAGAAAGAAAGAAAGAAAGAAAGAAAGAAAAGAAAAAGAAAGAAAAGAAAGAAAGAAAGAAAGAAAGAAAAGAAAGAAAGAAAGAAAGAAGAAAGAAAGAAAGAAAGAAAGCAAGAAAGAAAGAAAGAAAAAAGAAAGAAAGAAAGAAAGAAAGAAAGAAAGAAAGAAAGAAAGAAAGAAAGAAAGAAAGAAAGAAAGAAAGAAAGAAAGAAAGAAAGAAAGAAAGAAAGAAAGAAAGAAAGAAAGAAAGAAAGAAAGAAAGAAAGAAAGAAAGAAAGAAAGAAAGAAAGAAAGAAAGAAAGAAAGAAAGAAAGAAAGAAAGAAAGAAAGAAAGAAGAAAGTTCCCTTCATTAACCCTATCTATCTGGTACATTATGTAACATCTCTATAAGCAAGCCAATTTGACACTCTGAGCTACAAATGTAACCAAACCAGTGTGCTATTGTAATTTACTGTATTTTTCTGTGTATAAAACAATGTTTTCCAGTGTTTTAAATCTAAAATTGGGTGGGGGGATGGGGGGGGGGGGTACCTTTATATACACAAAATGTGATTAAGATATTTATTTCTTTTTTAGGAGTTGTCTTATACATGGGGGCGCTTTATGCATGGCAAAATACACCACATATTTAACCATGCTACTAAGGCCACAGTCGTGTAGTGGCTTTTAGTTCTTGGGTTCTAATCAACACTATAAGGATTAGGAAAACACTGAGATCAGTTCCACAGTCAACCTAGCCTCAAGTGGATACCAGGTATTGTCCTGGGAAGTAAAGGCAGATGGAATAATGTTGACCACATCACACACTAAGTGCTAATTGGTCTACACATATCGAGCATCGTATGCCCTATGTGTCGGGCGTGAAAAGGGTCCTTTACTGTTACTTATAGGTTACATCTTTAACCATGTCACACTAAGCTGCACCACTAGGTGGTGAACTGATACATGACAAGGCAGATGTGGTCAAGGCCCTTTGGGAACAAGCAACGGAATCAGGAGAGAAACAAGATTATGGCCTGGAGAGGATGAGGCACCTGGGTGTAACCAGAGGCTCTGGCCGGCTCACTACACTCAGAGGAAAGGCAAGATGGACACATAACCAGATTGTGACAGGTACCATCAGTATTGGAACTCTGCACTGGCTGCTGAAGATGAGGATGGGGCACACATGGGAATGCCCTGAGTGCTATGATGTCAGTTCTTGACTCAACTCAACTCAACCCATGTCACACTAAGCTCAGAAATGACATATTTAACCATATTAACACAGCCGTGTAATTCATCTTCTTCTTCGTTTGCGATCCTTGGCTGTAAACTCCAGCTGAAAGTTCTGGGTGTTCGTCCACCTCCGGACTTTAGTCTTGTTCCAGAACCTGAGTTTTTTGAGCACATCTTGTTCACAGATCTGGCTTATTTATATGCAGACATGTGGTTGCTTGCCTCTCAGGCAGACACACTCCGACTTCAAAGGATGTCCCCAATTAATCAACTCCTATGACATGCTTGCTGGGGAGCCAGCGAGTCTATTCTTGATTTCCCCACAATAAGGTCCTGGAAACCAGGTGATTTACATCTGTAACCATACCACACACAAAAATTAAGTAAACTGATGCATGACAAGCAAAATGTGGTAAAGGCCATTTGGGAGTGAGAAACTGTAAAAGCGGTCTAAAGAGAATGGTACAATGAGGAGTGACCAGGGCATCTGTCTGTAACTCAAGACACAGAGGAAAAGTAAGATGGAAATACCATCAGACTGCTACTGGTACCATCGGAATAGTAACCCTGTGCTGGCAGCTGAAGATGAGGATGCTGCACTTTTGGCAATGTCCTGAGAGCTGTGATGACAATTATAAACTCCCCTTAGCTCCTCAGTCGGCTCTGTGGCTAAGTCGATGCGAACGCTTCGTAATGTCGGGGTGCCAGGTTCGATCCTAGCTGTGGGCCATGCCTTGGTTTGGACAGTGGTATCAAGAAGCCGACCGTCCAGAAAGCAATGGCAAACCACTAAACATACATTTACCTAGAGAAACCACACAACAGCCAGGGGCTGCTGGGGTTGGTTCTGCAACGTCCTGTAAAGGATAATCAACTAACCTTTTTTTTTAGCTCCTTAACTCAAACACAAGTAGCTGTGATAAAAAAACTACAAACCTTATAAGGTGTTGGATTCAATGTCCTCTTGTGGTCAGGTCTGACCGATGATAAAGACTGCTTGGCTTTCTCCCGGAGCTCCCCCAGAGTTGGTAAATACTGAACCACCTGTAGATGTTGAAAACAGGGTAAAATATACTTCACTCATTGAGTCAATTTTCCTTCTTTACCTGAGTTAAATCTTTATTTGAGGACAATAGTGACATAGTGACCAGATACTTGCTGCAGGGTCGAAGGACTAAGGTTCAAATCTAATCTAAGGCTGATTTTTCCTTTAAAATTGACCTTTGCTCCCAGGCTGATCCAACTAAAAAATGGATACCAGGTAATTTTTTGGGATGTAAAGGTGGCTGGCATGATGTTAACTATATTACCCATCAAATGTCAACTGATCTTTAAAAATATAGCTCTAGCACTATTTGTCCATGTGCCAAAGACATAAAAAAAAGGTTTTTTTTTTATCTTTATCCAAGGTTGTCTGTTGGACATCATGTGCAGATGTATGACTGCCCTTGCCAGTCAACCAGACACCTGCTGACGCTCCCCCTGGGGTCAGACATATTTTCCGTATTTTTATTCTTGTGCCAAGAAGTGGAACTGACATGTCTTTGCCTACACACAGTGTCTTAGTGATGGAGGAATTCGATAACAATCTCTGTTTCCTTTGACTGGTTGCTATTTGGCTGATTGTTTGAATGGTTGTGGGTTGACTGATGTTTGATATAGATGGTTGACTGGCTGGACTGTTGACTGGTTGACTGGCATGTCTTTGCCTACACACAGTGTCTTAGTGATGGAGGAATTCGATAACAATCTCTGTTTCCTTTGACTGGTTGCTATTTGGCTGATTGTTTGAATGGTTGTGGGTTGACTGATGTTTGATATAGATGGTTGACTGGCTGGACTGTTGACTGGTTGACTGGATATAGTATACACATAGATTAAACAATCAACAGTTCAAATAATGAAATTAATTAAACTGTTATTTTTCCTTTGTCATTATTTTATCATGGTATAAACCTCAAGAACAAAATCAATGAATTAAAAAGGTTTAAAAAAAACACACACATACACACACTATTAAATCCAATGAACTATATCAATCAAATGAAATAGACAGTCATAATCATATAGCATAAAAAACAATGATCAAATAAAAGAATAGTCACAATCAAGTTCAAATTAAATCAACATTTATAAAAATCAATTATTCACAAGAAAATGCTATAAATAAACACAATCAAATAACCAGTCATAATAGATTAAACAAAAAACGTCACAATCAAAGCAATGAAATAGTCACCAGCAACAAAAAACCAAAAAAAAAACAACAACAAATAAGGAAACCACAATCAAATAAACAATCCCAATCAAATCAAATAAACAGTTCAAATGAAGTAAGACAACAGTCTGCAGACCTTCCCATCCTTCCACCATGTGACATGCAAAGACCGGACAGCTGTTGGTATTACATATGCTCGTTTTGTTTCCTGCCAGATAAAAATAAAGTCCAGAGTTAATGATGCTGACCACAAAGGATTGGCAACTGCTACAATGCATGTGTACAGGAAACCTGGCCTGCCCAGTTTGGATCAAATACACATAAATTTGTATGTATCACATTTCAATTACATTCCTGTTAGCTTCATATATAGATTACAGCTTAGTCAGGCAACATCAAATGACTTTGGCTCTCAGGTCGACCCAGCCCTGAGTGGGAACCGACTAGATCCTGGCAAGTAAAGGCGGCCAGCGTGATGTTGACCATATCACCCAGCAAGTGCTGACTGGTCTATAAAATACAGGTCTAGCCCTATTAGCTCAATATGCATGAAGGTTGCTCAATATGCATGAAGGTTGCTCAATATGCATGAAGGTTGCTCAATATGCATGAAGGTTGCTCAATATGCATGAAGGTTGCTCAATATGCATGAAGGTTGCTCAATATGCATGAAGGTTGCTCAATATGCATGAAGGTTGCTCAATATGCATGAAGGTTGCTCAATATGCATAAAGGTTGCTCAATATGCATGAAGGTTGCTCAATATGCATGAAGGTTGCTCAATATGCATGAAGGTTGCTCAATATGCATGAAGGTTGCTCAATATGCATGAAGGTTGCTCAATATGCATAAAGGCTGCTCAATATGCATGAAGGTTGCTCAATATGCATGAAGGTTGCTCAATATGCATGAAGGTTGCTCAATATGCATAAAGGCTGCTCAATATGCATGAAGGCATGGAAAGGGGTCCTTAACTTTACAAGCAACATCTTTTCAATGTGCAGAATGGTACCCTCAAGCCAGTATCTTCCCATTTGAACAGACTGAGGCAGTGGGTCACTTTCAACATGTAAGTCATGGCTATTAGGTCTTGTTCCTCCTATGAAAGAGTTTACAAATCTGACCACTTTGTCTTATGTTCAACACAATTTCATCTACTTTTTCAGGTCACACAATTTCATCTACTTTTTCAGGTCACACAATTTTATCTACTTTTTCAGGTCATTTCCCTTGAGCGTTTATCTGTTAAGGTGTCCATCAGCAAGTTTGTGCCTTAAAGTGTGCATACACATTTTGATCACAAGTGGATTTATTTATAAAAAGATAAATTATTTAAGTTTTCTGTGAATGGTTTCACTGTCTGTGTTGTAAGCTTATGAAGGATTTTGAGCAGCAACATTAATTATTTCACCTGTAATCGTTTTACTGGGAAGCTGGTTAATCCTACTTCTCACCTAGGCTGATTTTTAATTTCACTAAATAATTTTGTTAAAAACAGATCACAAAGCTCATGACTGGCTCAAACATGGTATGAGTCTTATTGAAAAGTTTTTAATTTTTTTTATTTTAGATTTTAAATCCAACCTGGAAAGGATGTTGACAGAGAACCCGCTGTCCAACCTGAGGCACAGGCTCTGTGGAGCTTTGTAAGAGGTCAACTAGTGCTGTCCCTAGTTTGAACAAAAGAAAAACAAGGATTTAATATTAATGTGGAAGTAAAAAAAAAGTCATATTTATCACAAACTGCATGGACCTCTGGATTACCAATTTAAAAAAAAAAGAAAATCACTTCTATACTTTAGTCTTTTAGTCAACTCTTACAACAAGCTTGTTAAGCTGGCAGTGGATCTATTCTTTTGTAACCCCCAAAATGGGGCCCCAGAACCCACATGAGGACAAAGGGAATATAACAGAATATACAGATAGAAGAAATGTGTTTACAGACAGAAAGAATTTAAATACAGACAGAAAGAATATGATTACAGAAAAAAATAACATGAAGTAACATGCTAACTGGGGAGTCGCCGTGGTGTAGCGGCTAGACGCTCACATGCGGATCGGAAGGTCATGGGTTCGCTCCCTGGCGGAGCCTGACATTTTTCAAAAATGACCTTCACTCCCAGTTCAACCCAGCTTTGAGTGGGTACTGGGTGCAGTCCCCGGAAGTAAAGGCAGGTGGCGTGATGCTGACCACATCACCCATCTTGTGCTGATTGGTCTATAAAAATATAGGTCTAGCCCTGTATGCCTAAAGACGTGGAAAAGGGACCTTTACTTTTTCTCTTTTTTTAAAAATGTTAACTGACAATATTATAAATGAAACAAGCCATTACTGCACTGACTAGCATGACTGCCGCTCGCCTCAGCAATCAGGTGTTCAAAACATGAGATTTCAATTTTAAACTGATCCAAGCTCCCAGGTTAATCCACCCTAAAATGGGTACCAGAAAATGTTCTGAGAGATAAAGGCAGCTGGTGTGATACTGTTCACACCACCTATTTGGTGCTGATTGGAGTACAAAATATAGAACTAGATCTTCATACCCAGTATGCCTTAAGATGTTAATTTAATAATTTAAAAAAAAAGGCTTTTTATTTTGAATATGTGGGAGCTGTTGTGTTGTTGTTTGCACTCACCGGCTGTAAACTCAGGTGGAAAGACCTGGTTTTTGTCAATTTCTGGACTTTGGCTTTGTTCCATGACCTGAGTTTTCAGTGTGCATCTGTTTTACAGATCTTGCTTATTTGTATGCAGACTATTAGTTCCTTGCCTCACAGAAAGATGCACTCTGACTCTGAAGAAAGCCCCCAATTAGTCGACTCTAACGATATGCTTGTTTGGGAGGCAGTGGGTCTGTTCTTGTTTTCCCCACAATGGGGCCCTGGAACCCACATGGGGAGCTGCTGTAGTGCAGTGGCTAGATGCTCACCTACCAATCGAAAGGTCTAGGGCTTAAATCCACATGAAGGCAGATTTTTTCTTCAAAATTTACTTTAGCAAACATATTGATCCAGCCTGAAACGTGTACCAGCTAATGTCCTGGGAACTAAACACAGAATGTTGAATTAAGAAGCGACATCACAGCACTAGGGACACCCCCATAAGCGCTCCATCCCCATCTTCAGCAGCAAGCCAAGAGTTAAAATTTCGATGGTACCAGTAACTGTCTGACTGTATATCTGTCTCGCCTTTCCGCTGTGTGTCGAGCATTGGCCAGATCCCATTTTAACTCCTCGCAGTGCCATTCTCCTCAGAACATAATGATCTATCTGTTCCTCAGCACTGTTCACTCGCTCCCAAAGAGCCCTCACAACATCCAGCTTGTCATACATTATTTCACCATCAAGTGGTGCAGAACTGGTCAGTCTATCAGCTTGCTCATTTCTTAACACACCGGCATAACCCTGGGAAAATATCCAAAGGATGCTGACTACCCGGGACCTTTGAAGTGATGCTTGCCACTCTGCATGGAGCATGCCTGCCTCCACCTTTCTCAACATGCTCTGTCAGCATGACATCGACCATATCACCAATCAAGTGCTGATTGATCTGTTTTTTAAAAAAAATGGATGTCTAGCACTAAAGGCCAAATGCATTAAAGGAGTCCTTTAACTTTTCTTTTTAACCTTAATGTTGTACAAAATAAACACATAACATAAAGCAGAAAAGTATATACAGGGAAGCATATGGTTAAAAATTACAAAACAAACTGAAAACTGTGCCTCTATAATTGTTCAAGTCAAATCAAGTTACAGAAACTTGATTCTACAAAAAATAAGAAGAATAACTATTCATTAAGTAGTAAATTTGGTTATGTAAGCAACAGGAAAACTTGTCGGTAGAGGCTGGTTTACAAAATTATAATTATAACGCATAAAAAAACATAAGATATAGCAATGACAAACCTTCATCTGAAGACAAAAAACAAAGCAGCGCAATACAAAATAGAGATAGGAATGATATTCAAATATTGACAGTTTTAAATTTTAACTCTTTCAGGACCACATTTTTTTCTGGGGTTTGGACGGCATTAATTTTGAGCCGAATTTTTTTCCTGCAACAAGACAAAGCTAAAACCTTCCTGAAGAAAAAGAATTGGCTGTATCGGGACATATAAATACCAAATTAAAGATAAATTAGTGCAGAATAAATCTAAACTATTTAAATGCCAGAATAACAACAAAATATTATTAAAATCACACAACATTCAAGGATGAAAATTATTGACATAAACAATTTTGTGCTTGCCTTAATTTTGACTTGTTCAACACTGCTAGCCAATTCTAAGAATGGTCATGTCTTCAAATGTTCATTTATGTATTATCTTAATTTGAAACAATTAATTTAATTACTTTGGATGTTATGATCATTTTTGTATGACATGTCAATTTTCACAAAAACCAAAAATCGGAAAAACAGCTGATCAAGACATTGATCTGATGGAAATATTTTGTGAAGTTTTCATATCCCAAACTAAATTATCGCCAACAGATTTGTCACTTAGACATGAATCATAATACCAAGACTGTTGTCACCATCTGGCATAGATTCGCCAATGAAAGAGCAGTATGAACAGTTCTAGACCTATTCTCTTATCATTTAGTATAGAAAAATCACGTAAAAATTGTATCCCATCTGAAAAAAAATTTTTTAATCATAAAATAATGCACCGACTATGATGAACATCACAAATGAAAGGACTTCCTGTTGTTAATCCTAATTGTTCAAAAACTTGTTCATAAAAGTTCATTTTCCCTACAAACAGAACAAAATAAGAGTGTCTCTATCATGATCCGGTATACGATACACTTACTCATTAATTACGATACACTTACTCATTAATCACCAGTATACTGGCTAAACATCCGTAAAGAGTTAAGTATTTCAGTTCATCGTCATGTCCTCCCCCCTATCCATTATTTGCTATGTTGTAACTTTACTTTCAACATTAACTGACACTTGTCATATAGTCAACATGGAAATACTTTCTAAAAATCAACATTAATTCTAACAGTTAACATTTAAATACTGACCACTTATTGTAACAGTCAAGGTTTGACACACAATCCTTGAGTCAACATTCATTCTAAAAATCAAGATATAAATACTTACCACTTATTTTTTCCAAGTCAAGGATTGACTACAAATCAATATATTCACACAACCCAAGGGTCAACATTACTTCTAACGGTCAACATATAAATAATGACCAATTATTTTAACAGTCACCGTTTGACTACAAATCAACATATACACACAACCTAAGTGTCAACATTAATTCAAATAGTTAACATATAAATAGTGACCACTTATTGTAACAGTCAAGGTTTCACTACAAATCAACATATAAACACAACCCAAGAGTCAACATTCTAAAAGTCAACATAGAGTAAAAAGTTTGGTATGAGGTTTTGAACAATGGATCAACATCATGGCAAATGGGCAGTAACCCATAAGTGCTCTGTTCTTATTCTAGGACAGTAACCCATAAGTGATCCGTTCTTCTTCTAACTTAAGTCTGAGTCCGAAGAAGCTCAGCACAGTGCACAGGCTCTGTAGCACCAACGAGGATCCTGAAATACTTTGGGTAGATTTTAAATTCCAAGTTTTACCAGGGCAGCGCCGTTAGGCACCTCTTTTTGATTTCCAACTGCCAATGGATTTTTTATGTGCACAGCAATGCACAGAGGCATCTGATCTCACTACCTAGAGACCAGGGGGAATTACTAGAAGTCCAAACCCAGCCCTTACCGGGGATTGAACCTGGAAACTCTAGACACCAACATTTGTTTCGTCAGTTCACATTTAAAAATTCTGAATCGGCATTTATTCTTGAAAGTCAATCAATAAACACTTTCTATGGGTCAATATTCGCTCTAAAAGTCAACATATAAATACTTTCTGTGGGTCAACAATTACTGTATCGGTCAAAATGTCACTGAAATTCTACATGTACACACTTACAATGAGTCAAAATTCATTCTATTAATCAACATATACAAAAAAACATGAGTCAACATCATTCAAGTCAAAAGCAACTAATAAAGGTTTCATGGAATCAGATGTAATTGGCCAAAAAGGGGAGATATCACAGCCAAGCTGTAAACCACAATGTACAACTGCCATTCTAGATTTATAATTTTCAAGATTTTCCTCATCATTCAAGCTCTCACTGACTGTGTCACTTTAACTGTGAACGTATTCTTCATGAAGTTATGATTCTGCAGAGTCTGAATCAACCAAAGTATCGATCACCTGTTTGACTGTGAAAAGCCTAGACCTGCTTCACGTTCCTGTCGAAGTGCTTGGTTCATCAGCTGCACGTTTTATTGTGAATTTTCAGAATATTTTCACGTAAATCAACACAAATTTAATCCAAATACGTTTATGCATCAACACTCATTATAATGGTCCACATACAAACACTTACCATGCATCAACACTCATTATAATGGTCCACATACAAACACTTACCATGCATCAACACGCATTATTATGGCCCACATACAAACACTTACCATGCATCAACACTCATTATAATGATCCACATACAAACACTTACCATGCACCAACACTCATTATATTGGTCCACACAAAAACATTTACCATGCATCAACATTCATTATAATGGTCCACATACAAACACTCACCATGCATCAACATTCATTATAATGGTCCACATACAAACTCTTACCATGCATCAACACTAATTATATTGGTCCACATACATACAAATACTTACCATTAGCACCATACAACCTGTACACGCTTTTCTGGCCTGGAATTGTCACCTTGTCCACATCCTCGCTAAGCTTAATCCTGGCCTTCTTCTTGACCTCTACCAACTGACAACATCAAGGTTACAAGCATTAACTCTGACCTCTGATCTCTGACCCAAAGGAAATGATTAATGAACAGATTATGAAGTTAATCCTTGATTTAAGTGAATCCATTTTCTTCTTATTCTGCTCTATATCGCCCTATGGGGTCGAGGCCCTAAAACAACACATGCCAGGTCATCCTATCATTTGCTATCGCACGCAGTTCCCCCCCCCCCCTTTCCAACCTTTCCCCTTCACTCTAATTCCCCAGTTCAGTGGTTTCCAGTTGTCAAAGACCCATAGACTCTCATTTACCAAGATCTGCAATAGACTCCATATTTTCAGTCAACTAACGATTATAATTTGTAAAATAATAAACTGAAAAAAAAAAGGATTGGGTTCTTTCTAAAGTTGAGGGTTTAAAAAAAATTATTTCACTGACCCCTGAAATTTTGTAAGCAGCTTTGAATTGTGAAAGTGTTTACAGCCATTAAACTAGACACTAAGGTCTAATGTTTCCTGAAAAAGGCAATAAAGTATCCACCTTCCCTATGGCCTTTGTCAAAAAAGTACTCTACTGAATCAAGGATCTGATTTTATGAACAAATACAAAGAAAAGAAAAGCAAGCAAGGAAAAAGATAAGTGCTTCCATGATGACATTTTCTATATATAAAGTCATAATTCATAAAGGCACAGATATACTAAAGCTAGTTAGAAAACTGCTTGCTTCTGATAGCTGAAAGTGGGTTTAGGTGGGAGGAGAGGGGGTAAAGAATATTGTCTTAGCTACAACAAATTTGTATTAATTTCATTTAACACAAATCTATGCTATACAACTAATGGCAGACATACTAATGGGAGACACACTGCTGATGGAAGACAATTTACTAATGGCAGACATACTGCTGATGGGAGACAATTTACTAATGGCAGACATACTGCTGATGGGAGACAATTTACTAATGGCAGACATACTGCTGATGGAAGACAATTTACTAATGGGAGGCACACTGCTGATGGAAAACAATTTACTAATCGCAGACACACTGCTGATGGGAGACAATTTACTAATGGCAGACATACTGCTGATGGGAGACAATTTACTAATGGCAGACATACTGCTGATGGGAGACAATTTACTAATGGCAGACATACTGCTGATGGAAGACAATTTACTAATGGCAGACATACTGCTGATGGGAGACAATTTACAAATGGCAGACATACTGCTGATGGGAGACAATTTACTAATGGCAGACATACTGATGATGGGAGGCAATTTACTAATGGCAGACATACTGCTGATGGGAGACAATTTACTAATGGCAGACATACTGCTGATAGGAGACAATTTACTAATGGCAGACATACTGATGATGGGAGACAATTTACTAATGGCAGACACACTGCTGATGGGAGACAATTTACAAATGGCAGACATACTGCTGATGGGAGACAATTTACTAATGGCAGACATGCTGCTGATGGGAGACAATTTACTAATGGCAGACATACTGCTGATGGGAGACAATTTACTAATGGCAGACATACTGCTGATGGGAGACAATTTACTAATGGCAGACATACTGCTGATGGAAGACAATTTACTAAAGTTAATGGCAGACATACTGCTGGTGGGAGACAATTTACTAATGGCAGACATACTGCTGATGGGAGACAATTTACTAATGGCAGACATACTGCTGATGGGAGACAATTTACTAATGGCAGACATACTGCTGATGGGAGACAATTTACTAATGGCAGACACACTGCAATCTTGGAGAAAAAAATATAACATTTTTTAAAAAAGGGGGAGAGGCAGGTGCACTAATAAAAATTGTTATGCTATCTGCATCTACTGGTTGACTGCCACAGTGACATAATAAGCCCTATTTAGGATGTCAAATCAACAAGACTAGATCTACATTTCTCATTCAACCTTAATAATGGTTATAATTACCTTAAGTTATGCCAGTGGTCGGCAAACTCTTTAGTCGAAAGAGCCAAACAATCAGCAGCAGGAGGATTAAAGATTTTTAGACAGTTATATTTCTTTTCAAGAACCATGTTTTTCGGAGTCAAAACCGATTTGTGGCCGACTGGCCGAGCCGCACTCAGGTCGCTAAAGAGCCGCATGCAGCTCGCGAGCTGTGACTTACCGATCACTTGGTTATGGTATAGTGTATTACAAACAACTGTGTTAATGCAAAAAATTTGTAACACACTACTTCAGTTTCAAAAATGACACAAAACACATTACTTTTACAAGGACACCTGTAGTCAAGAATGGAATCAAATTACAAGAAGGGTTTAGAAAAAAATTATATGCAGTACATAAAAGCCGTTTACTAAATACAGCTAAGGCTGAAAATCTGGCCACTGAGGACATTCTATCAAATGAGGAATAAAAGAAATTCTGTAGCTAGGCTAGAAGGATAAAATTAATAGTTTAAAATATAGTTGGACAAATCAGGATTGTTGGGGTTTTTCAATAAATCCACAACTAACCTTAAAGATACACCCCAAAGCTGGCTGTTTCTGGCATGTGACAAGATGGGTTCCAATCCCAAAACAACTGATTGTATGGCCCTGAAATGTTAAAAAGACAATGTTACACTGTTACTCAACTGACTTTACTCCATATTGGTATTCCCCTCTGTAAATCCTCCGGCTCAAAGACCCCCCTGCCTATACCACGAAAGTGGTAAAATAAAAGCAGTAATTGGCAGTTTGTATTCATCTGCATGCTCGGTCATCTGATGCGGCAGCGGTCTAAAATACCTCTGCCCTGTTTCCATAAGAAGTTCATTGTTTCTCCTCTCCTGACCTTGAAGGTAACATTGACCTGCTTGGCCTGGCTTTACTTCAAGATTGTGTCATGAGACTAGTGTCAGTGACTTATCAGTATCTATCAACTTCTTCTTCTGTGTTCCCCCTTAGAGGAATGGCTGGCACATTGTATTGTGGCTAACAGCCAGGGTGTGATATTTGTACCTTTAAACCCGACATCTGATTTAATCAGTTCCTTCATTAGTTATATTTTACAACATGCTTGTTGTGAGGAAAAAGGGGCAGGTGGGCAGTGGATCTATTCTTTCCCTCCTCACCACCACACCCTAAAATGGGGCCGTGAAGTCCAAACTTGGAATCTCTCAGATGTAAAGTTTGGTCAGCATGGGCTCTATCAGACCTCTCTTTTCTTCATCTTCTTGTATCATGTATTACTTGCCAGCTAGTCAGTGTATCCATCATCTTTTTACTCCATCATGCCTTGTCTATATCCAAATATATATCCAAATGACTGATGTGATGTGTGATAAATTCCGTCTACCCAACCAGAGCAAACTTCAACTGCTCCAACACACTAAGAAAAGAAATGCAATTGAAAATAAAGTATTCTATGCTCTCCAAAAACTGCTTCAATTAAAAGCTCCATCTCAAAATGACTAGATCCCAATATATGAAATGCTAATAAGACCAGTTGTCTCATATGGCTCTGAAACCTGGAGCACTACTAAAAGAGAAGTAACCCTCTTACACATTCTTGAAAACAGTCTTATGACAAATCAATAAACAAATATAAGATACAAATAGTGGAGAATGGAGAGTGAAAAACAAAAATATTCATAATCTGTTTAAATTTAATTACAGGCTTCATGAAGGCAAAAAGAATCCAATAGTTGGGACATACAGAGAGAACGGCAGACAAAAACTGCACACATACAATAGTTAAATGGGAGCAGATCAGGAGACAGACAAAGAAGACAGTGGAGAGATAACATACAGGCAGATCTACAAGCACGTGTAGTCACCAAATGGAAAGAAAAAGCCAATTACAGAGATGAATGGAGGCAGGTGGTATCTATAGCAATGAACTTCAAGGGCTCAGAATGCTGAAGAAGAATCACAGCAGACGCTACCACAATTTCGGGAGCTTGTTTGAAAGTAAAGTTAAATAACATTGTCAAGCTATAAGTCCTTTCATAAGCATATTTGTAAACTGACCTAGGCCCCTTAGTTAACCCAGCCTAAAATGGACACCAGGAAACATCCTGGGAAATAAAGGTTGCAAGTATGATTTTAACCACATCACTCATCAAGCATCAACTGGTCTACAAGAATATGGATCTAACACTAACATTCTTGATGAGCAAAGCCATGAAAAGAGCCCTGTTATTACAGACCCATAATTGTATAAATCAGTCAGTTCTCGGTGGATGTAGGGACCCGCACCATGCCAGTGTAATTGATTGGTTATGTTTCCATGAAATCTGAATGTTTTGTTTTTACTTACCTGATGATTAAGAGAGTGTATTGTATCTTCATTGATGTCATTACTTGCCACAATACTGAGCTTTTCAAACCAAGGCAGCCTGTAACTAACAGATGATAAGCAAATATTTGTTATGTGTACATTTTGTAAAATATAGTCAGCATTTTATGTGCAGGTTATTGGAGGTATTAAATGTGATAATCAGTGAAACCAGCAATTCTGTTATGGAAAAGAGGAAAGGGAACAGAAACAGACATATACTTGGATCGCTTTACCACATACCATGGGCAGGATAAGAAGAGAGAGTTGATTCTGGTGATCATATGAGATGGTGAATAAATAACATAAACATTGAGAGGCATGGCCCATAATGAAGAGGATACAATCTACTCTTCCTCTGAAATGATGCATGTCACTCTGCCAGCACAGCATGCTTTTCTCTATCATTCTCAGCATGCTTGACAAGTCTGTTACAATCACAACACGTGTGTGAAGCTGGTTCTCAAGCCAGCAAAAAGCTGCTGTAACTGACTCCATCTCTATACTCAAACTAAATGCTGTGGTAACATATCCAGGTTTTGTTGTACTAAGTGTTGTCTATTCACTTTTGCAATTAACCTCAATGCACTTTTTCTGCCACAGATCCATCTATATAGATAAAAACATCACCAGGGCGGCAACTGTTGTGAATTAGTTGCTGAATTTCTGATCTTGCAGTGCCTGCTAGCTACTCCCTGCAGTCCCATTACTAATCATGTGTGATTAGCTACTGTCCGCAGGTATTAACTCTACCAGACCGCTGGTCCGCTATTAGGCGAATTTTATAACTGGCCGCTAAACCGCTGTCCCTCAATGTTGGGAATTTGCGTACTATGAGAAAACAATGCATCACAAACTAAAAATAACTAGCCAATCGTAACCAGATCTCGTGGATAGTCTTCTCAGATGTCGGCCCCCACGTATTTGGATTAAATTTGTGTTGATTTACCTGAACAAATTCTGAAAATTCACAATAAAACGAGCAGCTGATAAACCAAGCACTTCGACAGGAAAGTGAAGCTGGTCTAGGCTTTTCACAGTCCAACAGGTGATCGATACTTTGGTTGATTCAGACTCTGCAGAGTCATAATTTCATGAAGAATACGTTCACAGTTAAAGTGACACAGTCAGTGAGAGCTTGAATGATGAGGAAAATCTCGAAAATTATAAATCTAGAGATAGATCCAAAATAGGAGAAGGGGCGTGTCCCTCAAACAGCAACATCTGATGTTAACTTTGTGAAACAAGTTTGATCCTGCTGGGTGGATTAGCACACAAAGGTGGAATATTGACGCTAGATAAAAGGTAAACCTATTTTCTATAATGTCTCCAAATTTCATCTTACTTTAGCCACTTGTTTGCATGTAACTAATATTTGTGCATATCATGTTGGTTTTTTTCGCGTTAATGCCCAAGAGCTCTGATATAGGAGACAGGTTTAGGACCTGAGGTCTGGTAGGGTTAAGCAAACACACAGCTGTGTATTTACTCTCTTAATTTAGTCTGCATGAAAAGAAACACAACATGCAATGGCAACACTGGTCCTGAAATCCCATGTATGTGTGTGAAAAACAGGTCTTGCTAGTCACCCATGCCATCGCAGTTGGCTGTGTTTCCGATGTCTTTATACAGCACTAGTTAATACTATCATCTTGAGAGATGGGAAGGTATCAACAACAAAATCTGATCTGCGCACACTAAAGAAATAGGATAATATATGCTATACACCTCTTTCTTTTTGGCTTTACTACCTATTGGGTCACTGCACCTTAGGAAACTGACAAGTGGTGAGGCTTCAGAAAATTTTAAAGATGTTCTTTGGGACATTTTCACAATGAAAATCAACAAACAGAATGTTTAAGGAGGCTAAACTGTGGAAGTGGTCACAAGGGAAGCAAATTTATCTAGCATGTTTTGACAAAATATTCAAAAGGTAAGAAAAATACATTACTCAATGACTGGGATAGCTCGTTTAGTTGTTAAAAAGGTTAAAAAGAGTCATTAAGATGATTTAAGTACTACTGCAGACTGACATAGTAAAAATAGAGCTTAACTTGGAAATACATTCTAAACTGACAATATAATCTAGGTGTTGTTTTTTTAAACCAAACAATATGCTACCTCAGTTGATTCAAAGGTAGACAAGTTAATTTCCTGTGGTGTTTCAAAATGTTGGATCAGATTTTGGCCAGCTATGTCTTATTTTTACTTCATTTTATAACCATAAATTGTGTCCATTCCTGTGGCCACAGGTAGTTAGTTTGTTAACATTAAATATTCATGTTTGCAAGTTTTGTTCAGAGATTTTAATAATGTATGAAAACTTACTGTGCAGCTATTTTCACAAACTTTGACTTGACAAGCTGTGACAGGTAGGAAAGATCCCCACTGTCCAATCGAATGCCTTGAGCTTGGTAGCCAAGTTCATGCAAGGCCATAGCCACGGTGCAGAAGTTTGGAAGGCCACTCCTGAGTGTGAAATAAAGAAGGAGTATAATAATATGTAATAAATTTAACATTTCAATGGATATGCATACATCATAGAAAAGTCTTATTTTGCGGCGTCCGTGGCCTAGGTGTTGCGAGTCCAACTAGTAATTCCAACGTACCGTGATCGAAACCCACAATTGGCGGTGTGGATTTTTTTTAAATCATGGTATAGAGCATCGCAGGTCGACCAAGCCTAAAATGGGTACCAGGATGTATATCCTGGGGAAGTAAAGACAGCCGGCATAATGCTGACATTACCTAACTAGTGCCGATTGGTCTGTTTAAAAAAAAAAAAGCCTTATTTCAAACTTCTGAGGACAGTCTTATGACACATTATTTGAACCTATCAAACCTGCAAGCAGTGGAGAAATGCAAAGTGAGAAGCAAGAATAACATACATAATCTGTTTAAATCACCAGTGACCACTGACACCATGAGGGGTAATAGACTGTGATGGTTGGGCATATAGAGAGAATGGCAGATGGCAAGAGACAAAAACTGTGTACATCAAAGAGTTTGATGGGGTTTAAAAAAAACATGAGGCAGACCATAAAGTCAGTGGAGAGATAATATAAATGCAAACCTACAAATACTTGGAGTCACCAACTGGAAACTGAAGGTCAATCAGAAAGATTAATGGAGTGGGTGAAATCTGCAGCAATGATTCTAAACGGCTGGGAATACTGAAGAAGAAGAAGAAGAAGAAGAAGAAGAAGAAGGAAAAAAGGAAGGAAGGATGGAGGAATAGGAAGAGGAGAAGGATGAGGAGGAGGAAGAAGTCAACAAGGGACTTAGCATAAGTTGCCTGAGGACCAATGCTATACTGGGAAAGGATGGGCAGAAGAAGATACCACACTTGAGTGCAAAGTGATGTTCATAATTGCTAGGTAATGTCACTGTGCAAGTAGGATGAATAGCTAGAAACATTCCTCACCAATTGGCAGGTTTCAGCTTTACAGTTTTTTCATCTCTTTCTTGGTCTTCCCTTCACCTTCCTTTCATATGTTCTGCTGTAAAAAGTCTCGGGCGCATGATATGCCCATATATATCTCAAGACATAAAAATAAAATCTGTACTGTTTTGACTACTGAAGATCAAACCTTTGACCAGTGGGTTTGTAAGATGTATGTTAGCTAATCACTAAGTTTCTTTAGGAACAATACAAACCTTATAACATCATAAGTATCGATTAAGGCTAGGAAACCAGTGCAGAAGGCAAGAGCGTAGCAAATAAATGCTGCCAGTTCTCCTTCCACAACTTGGTCAGGTAGGAAGTCTGCAAGAGCATATATATAATCACACTCATCAGTTATTGTCCTTTCTTCTTTGAAGTGTAGTGATACCTTAAAGTGTCCTTTCAGTTAATCATTCACTTATTCTGAATTACTTTTAGTGCTGATTCAGTTAATCATTCACTTATTCTGAATTACTCTTAGTGCTGATTCCATTATTCACACAATGCCTGATACCTTGCAAAGCTGTTTCATTCAATCACTCACTCACTATGAGATACCTCACACCTTTGCTCAGTCAATCATTCAGTTCTGACTCTGAAATACCTTATAGTGGTAAGTCAATCACTCACTTATTGTGAGGTATCTTACAATATTGTTTCAGTCCATCATTTGCTTACTTTGAGATACGTTGTAATGTTTTATTCAGTCATTCACCTACTGTAAATAAAGAAGCAAAAAAGAGAATGGCTAAACCTATCTTCAATAAGATGTTAACATTACTGTCAGTTAAAAAAAAAAACATAAGAAATTAGAATCATGAAATGTTACGTAAACTTAACCCTGCTGTACGGAGCAGAAACATGAACAATGGAAAGACAACTAGAAAATCGCACTAAGTCTCTGGAAATGGGAGTAAATAAATGAAAATGTTGATTTTCATGGAAACAAAAATGATCAAATACATATGTTCTGGTGTGGATTTTTATCATGGTGTGGGGCGTCGCAGGTCGACCCAGCCTAAAATGGGTACCAGGATGGCTGTCCTGGGAAAGTAAAGTTCGCTGGCGTAATGCTGACCACATTACCCATCCAGTGCCGATTGGTCTGTATAAAAATGGGATGCTCTTTCCATATACCTGATGTGCCTAGGTTGGTATGCCCCCAGCGCATAAACTTTGTAGTCTTAACCGTGTAGAGCCTTCCTGTTGGTCTGCCATCCAGACTGAGATCTTTTGATCTTGGGGTGTCAAACCTTTCAGGCATCAGCCCAGAGTGGACAATGGCATGCACAGTAATTGTTGGTGCCTTTTATTTCTGTCCATATTCTCTCCTCTTAAATTTCCCTCCCCTTATCTGAATCATGTTTTGTCTTCATCCATTTCCAAATTCTAATTCACAATTTTTTCTCCTTCCGTCTCTCTCTCCATCCCACCCTTCTTTCCTCTCCCTTCAATCCTCACCTTTCCCTTCCACTCTCTCCTCTCTATTTTTCTACTTCTCTCTTTCTCTTAATGAATTCCCCCTCCCTCCCCATCAAATCACCACACAAATGATTCATACAACTACATGTGAGATGACACAGATGCCTACCTATTATAGAAGATAGCTCTGCCTGGTATTTCAAACATAAATCCACAAAATCCACCTCTCTGCTGCCCTCAGCAGACATCAGTGTCTAGGAAAACATACATACAAATGGCATTGAAGTTGAATTTGAGTTACCAACATCACAGCTTTTAGGGCATTCCCACAAATGCCTTGTTCCTGGTTAGCAGTGACGGTAGTTTCCTCTGAGCACTGACTGTGTCTTGAATTATTCTATTTGCATAACTCTTTCCAAACCATTCCTGATGGAGCCAGACTTTTTTTTTAAATATGATCTTGGCTCCAAGGTTGACCTATCCTTAAATGGATACCAGGTAAAGTAAAGGCTGCCGGAGTGATGTTGAGCGATCACCCACCAAGTGTTGATCGGTCTATAAAATACAGGTATAGCCCTACATGCCCAGTATGCCTGGAGGTGTAGACAAGGGTGCATTACTTTACATTCTAAACCATGATGACTTGTCGCTATTCCACAATGTTTCTTGTATTTCCAAACAGCTGTCACCACAACTGTCCTGTCATTTGTCAGCTTATTAACTTGTCACTATTCCACAATGTTTCTTATACTTCCAAAGAGCTGTCACCACAACTGTCCTGTCATTTGTCAGCTCATTAACTTGTCACTATTCCACAATGTTTCTTATACTTCCAAAGAGCTGTCACCACAACTGTCTTGTCATGCATCAGCTCACTAAATAATGTTACCCTCAGAATGAATACAAGTAAATAACTCTTCTTCTCTTCTTCCAGCTACCCCCTCAAAGTGTGTGTCTGTGTGCATGTGTGTGTGTGTTGGGTGAGGGAGGGATTGTAAGGAACTTTTGTGTGCATGTGTGTGTGTTGGGTGAGGGAGGGGTTGTAAGGAACTTGTGTGTGCATGTGTGTGTGTTGGGTGAGGGAGGGGTTGTAAGGAACTTGTGTGTGCATGTGTGTGTGTTGGGTGAGGGAGGGGTTGTAAGGAACTTGTGTGTGCATGTGTGTGTGTTGGGTGAGGGAGGGGTTGTAAGGAACTTGTGTGTGCATGTGTGTGTGTTGGGTGAGGGAGGGGTTGTAAGGAACTTGTGTGTGCATGTGTGTGTGTTGGGTAAGGGAGGGATTGTAAGGAACTTGTGTGTTTGTGTTGGGTGAGGGAGGGTTTGTAAGGAACTTGTGTGTGCATGTGTGTGTGTTGGGTGAGGGAGGGGTTGTAAGGAACTTGTGTGTGCATGTGTGTGTGTTGGGTGAGGGAGGGGTTGTAAGGAACTTGTGTGTGCATGTGTGTGTGTTGGGTGAGGGAGGGGTTGTAAGGAACTTTTGTGTGCTCCTTCTAATGCACTGCATAATTTGACCTCCATTCCTTTAAGGCTGTTCTTGATGGATGCCATCATTTAATTACAGAAGAAGTAAAAAACCTCCATTCCTTTAAGGCTGTTCTTGATGGATGCCATCATTTAATTACAGAAGAAGTAAAAAACCTCCATTCCTTTAAGGCTGTTCTTGATGGATGCCATCATTTAATTACAGAAGAAGTAAAAAACCTCCATTCCTTTAAGGCTGTTCTTGATGGATGCCATCATTTAATTACAGAAGAAGTAAAAAACCTCCATTCCTTTAAGGCTGTTCTTGATGGATGCCATCATTTAATTACAGAAGAAGTAAAAAACCTCCATTCCTTTAAGGCTGTTCTTGATGGATGCCATCATTTAATTACAGAAGAAGTAAAAAACCTCCATTCCTTTAAGGCTGTTCTTGATGGATGCCATCATTTAATTACAGAAGAAGTAAAAAACCTCCATTCCTTTAAGGCTGTTCTTGATGGATGCCATCATTTAATTACAGAAGAAGTAAAAAACCTCCATTCCTTTAAGGCTGTTCTTGATAGATGCCATCATTTAATTACAGAAGAAGTAAAAAACCTCCATTCCTTTAAGGCTGTTCTTGATGGATGCCATCATTTAATTACAGAAGAAGTAAAAAAACCTCCATTCCTTTAAGGCTGTTCTTGATGGATGCCATCATTTAATTACAGAAGAAGTAAAAAACCTCCATTCCTTTAAGGCTGTTCTTGATGGATGCCATCATTTAATTACAGAAGAAGTAAAAAACCTCCATTCCTTTAAGGCTGTTCTTGATGGATGCCATCATTTAATTACAGAAGAAGTAAAAAACCTCCATTCCTTTAAGGCTGTTCTTGATGGATGCCATCATTTAATTACAGAAGTAAAAAACCTCCATTCCTTTAAGGCTGTTCTTGATGGATGCCATCATTTAATTACAGAAGTAAAAAACCTCCATTCCTTTAAGGCTGTTCTTGATGGATGCCATCATTTAATTACAGAAGTAAAAAACCTCCATTCCTTTAAGGCTGTTCTTGATGGATGCCATCATTTAATTACAGAAGAAGTAAAAAACCTCCATTCCTTTAAGGCTGTTCTTGATGGATGCCATCATTTAATTACAGAAGTAAAAAACCTCCATTCCTTTAAGGCTGTTCTTGATGGATGCCATCATTTAATTACAGAAGAAGTAAAAAAACCTCCATTCCTTTAACGCTGTTCTTGATGGATGCCATCATTTAATTACAGAAGAAGTAAAAAACCTCCATTCCTTTAAGGCTGTTCTTGATGGATGCCATCATTTAATTACAGAAGAAGTAAAAAACCTCCATTCCTTTAAGGCTGTTCTTGATGGATGCCATCATTTAATTACAGAAGAAGTAAAAAACCTCCATTCCTTTAAGGCTGTTCTTGATGGATGCCATCATTTAATTACAGAAGAAGTAAAAAACCTCCATTCCTTTAAGGCTGTTCTTGATGGATGCCATCATTTAATTACATAAGTAAAAAACCTCCATTCCTTTAAGGCTGTTCTTGATGGATGCCATCATTTAATTACAGAAGTAAAAAACCTCCATTCCTTTAAGGCTGTTCTTGATGGATGCCATCATTTAATTACAGAAGAAGTAAAAAACCTCCATTCCTTTAAGGCTGTTCTTGATGGATGCCATCATTTAATTACAGAAGAAGTAAAAAACCTCCATTCCTTTAAGGCTGTTCTTGATGGATGCCATCATTTAATTACAGAAGAAGTAAAAAACCTCCATTCCTTTAAGGCTGTTCTTGATGGATGCCATCATTTAATTACAGAAGAAGTAAAAAACCTCCATTTCACAATGTAAACCAGTTACTGGAGAAACATAACTTCCCCAACAAAACTTGACCTGACATTAACAACCTATAAACCAAATTTTGAGGAAACAAAACTAACCCTAATTTCAACATCTGTCAACCAATTACTGAAGAAACAAAAGGTACCTTAAACTCAACATTTTATTAATCAATTATTGAAGAAACAAAACATAAAAAAACTATCTTCTTCTTCTTTTCTCTACTCCTGGAATGCCTCACGACTTCAGAGGAGGAAGAGATCTCTGGAACAGGCCCTTCTGTTCTCTTTGTATAAAGTACTTTTCAGTGTCTCTGATATTTCTGTGGTCCATATTTTGCTTGGTCAACCTCTGGGTCTGTTACCACTGTATCTGTTAAAACATTGCTCTCTGTGGTGCCCTGTCTGCTGTAATCTTATTACATGGCCAAACCATTTGATTTGTTGTCCACCTATAAAGTTCAGTGTTGGTTCTGTGCTGATTCTCCTCCTGATTTCATTGTTCCCAAGTCATTACACCTAGCATAGTACTAAAACATTTCATTTCTGTCGTGACTATTTTCCTTCTGTGTTCTGAAGAGTGTCCATGTTTGACATTGAAAGCAGAGCTTTGGTAAGAATATTGAGTTAAACAGTATTCTTTTAGTGTTCATATTCACATGCTCGCATTTCAAAATTGGTGCCATTTTGTCTAAAACTTGAGTTGCTTTATGGCAACTTTGTTGGATTTCTTTATTCATTATTCTGTCTTCTGAAAAAAAAATGCTTCCTATATATGTAAAAATCCTTCGCCTGCTTAAATATGTCTATGTTTAACTATCTATAATACCGTTTTTTTAAAGCAGCCTAGAACAGTGGAGTCTTGAGTATAAAGGTACAGGGCTGCATGGCTGGTGCAGTCACCACGAGTTTATAGGTTAGGATTTTTCTTTTCATCCTCGACAGCAACAAATGCAGGGTTTCTGAATGACAGATTGGCTACAGGTTTAGGTTCTGGGGCCTCATTTGGGGGGGGGGGGGGGGCTACCTCCCCACTAACAAGCATGTTGTATAAGGCATATACATTAGGAGTCTGCTGAAATAGGATGTGTTGTACTGAAAGGCACAGATATCGCAGCCTGGCTGTAATCCGCAATGTGTCAACTGTTCTCTGGATGACTAATAAAGAAGATGAAAAGTCCAGCATTCTAAGCCCTTGGTCAGTCTCTTGAAACATGAAACATACCCACATCATAACATTATAACGATTACCACATTATGGACAGACCAGAGCAAGTTATTATTCTGCACCTTAGACCCGGACACAATCAACTTCGCAGCCATATGTACACAAAATTTAAAATTGGCAAATCAGGCATGTGCATGTGTGGATTGGCACCTGAGACAACAGATCGCGTCCTCTAAGACTGTCCCAAATACAACATATCAAGGCAAAACTTGTGGCCAAGAGAAAAACCTGTGAAAGCTTAACTTTACAGATCACTGAGTGTATTACAAAAGTGAAGACAGTGATGTTCATACTAGAGACAACATTGCAGATATAGATAATCTATTTCAAGCGAATGAAAGAAGAAGAAGAAGATAAAATTATACAGGATTAGCAAGCCATATTCACATTTTCGTAAACCTTCTTTTTCTGTGTAGACCTGAAGATGTAAATTCACTGTGTCCATTTACAACATGGCTGCCATTATTGCACCTTTCGGCTGACACATCTGACTTCTGCAGATATTTGTTGTCTGGGTTAACCTTCCCAAGTTTTTGTAAATTTCACCCTTTTGCAAATCAATTTCACTGGGTTTTTTTCCTTTGGCAAATCGAATTCACCCATTTGCAAATCAAAATCACCCTTTTGCAAAATCAAATTTATCTTTCACAAACAAGTATTTTTTTACAATATTTTCTGATCTGGCATAATAAAAATGAAATCCAGTTAAAGTTATTGTTGTATCCCATTTGGTCTTTCTCAAATATATTTATCTTACCATTTGTCTTGAACATCCATATTTACTTTATCTATTTGTTTCCCATTTCAGTTTAGAGAGCAAAGCTTCTTTTACAGGGTTGTGTAGTTAGCCTCATGCCCAACCCTCTTCCTTCCTCACCCCATGAAGGTAAGAACCCAAGACCTTTGGTTAAATAAGAACTTTATGTTCATTATTGTACATATGCAAAACAACAGGGAGTCACCCTGGCGTTGGTAACTAGACGCCCGCTCGCGAATCGGAAGGTCGTGGGTTTCGGTCCTGGCGAAGCCAGATTTTTTCGACTCACAGGTCGTCCCAACCTTGAGTGGGTACCAGGTGCAGTCCTGGGAAGTAAAGGCGGGCGGCATGATGCTAACCACATCACCCACAAAGTGCCGATAGTCTATACAAATATAGGTCTATCCCTATATGCTCAATATGCTTAAAGGCGTGAAAAAGGATCCTTTACTTACTTTACTTACATGCCAAAAACATGTTGAAATCCAGCAACTTCCAATACGTTTAATTTTTATTACAACAGATAAAGAAAAGTTGGGTCTGTGAAAAGGTGAATTTGATTTTTCAAAGGAGGTGAATGTGATTTTTCAATACAAAGGGTGAATTTGATTTGCAAAAGAGTGAATTTGGCTTATCAATTCTGCATAAACCAAATAACGAAAAAAAATATCCAAAACAAAAACAAAAACTTACCCTAATCTTAACCTCCTGTAAATTAATGAATGAGGTAACAAAAGCATGAGCATGGGTCCCCTTGACTGGGATACCAAACAATTTCCCTGCTAGAACATTACTCGTCCCATCAAAACCTGAACAGAGAAAAAAAAATGTTATTCATAATAAATGTTCTTATATTTAACAAATGTTCTTTGTACTTAACAACATTATATACTTAGATTTATGCTATAAAACTAAAACATAAAAAACTTATTATAAACTTTTGAGAACAGTTTCATATGATAAATCTTTGGACCCATAAAGTATACAAACAGCGGAGAATAGAAAGTGAGACACGACAAAGAAATTCATAATTTATTTAAATCACCAGTAATTACTAACATCGTGAGGGTAAACAGACTGCAACAGTTGGGGTATATTTTCTTTGTATGACAGATAACAGATAGACAAAAACTGCATACACGAGTTGATTGGAAGTAGCCCACAAGGCAGACCAAGAAGATAGTGCAGTGATACGTGCAGACCTACAAGCATTTGGGTTTCCAACTGGACAGAGAAGGTCAGATGCAGAAATGTATGGATGCAGAAGATATCTGCAGAGGCTCAAGGTTTCAGAATGTTGAAGAAGATGTATTCTAGGAGACAATTATGTGTTTTGATATACTGGAACCATGGTCACACAGCATCTAGATAGCATGTTTGTCTGCCAGAGTAGTGGTCATGAGTTCAATTCCTCATAGAGGTAGGTATTTAGTTTTAAAACTGACATGATTTCTAGTTGGACATCATCTATAATCATCATTATCATTGTCATCATGAAGCAGGTTCTTTTTGGAATGTATGCTTTTAGCACAGCTTACTGGACAGTCATTTAGTTTCTTGCCAACATTGCTGCCTAGTGAACTTGTTTGCCTAGGATGTTCTTGATGTCTACCATTGTGCCGGTCAACACCTGATTCTTCTTCTCAAAACCATACCTTTGACTGCTGATCTTCTGTCTACAAAAGGTACTAAGAAATTGTCTGGAAAGTAAAGGCAGTTAGAATTAAATCCACCATACTACCAATCAAGTACTGGCTGGCTTAAACAAATATGGGGGTAGCATTAGGAGTTTTTTCCTAGGAAGAAAAAAGGTGATGGTACTCATCACAAAGTGTCCAAAAAAAAGAAATCACTGCACCAGGTTTTATCCTGCATGGCTTAGTCTCTCCACTTTTCTGCACAATGACTAGCCACCTCCTGGGAGCATCACACAAAGCATGAACTCCATAGCTCTGGCAATCATCCCCAGGTATCTCTATAAAAATGGCACTTGTGAATGGAAAGAGGCAGCCATGAAATAATTCAACGACCTTCGAGGATAAGGCAAACGGCTCAACCACTTTGTTGTGCACCCCCTCCCCCCATAAAACAGATACTGGTACTTATCACACAGTGTCTATTATAGTAGTGCTGAAACAAAATGATGCCTAAAAGAGGTGTTGATGCTTCGAACCACCCAAAAAAAAGCAATGTCTAACACTATATGTCTAATACAATACATGGCATTGAAAACTAGTCCTTTACTATGTTACTGACAGTGGCTCAACAGTCTCACAAACGAAGGGAATGATGCAACTAATCTAGTCCAGTTAAATGTGCTGGCATTAGGTTGTCTAAGCCGTGAAAAGGGCTTTAATCTAGAATTCTGAGTTTGGTCCCCAGACTATTCTCCTGACCGAGTAGTAAAGTACCACTTCTATGGAGACTGTGTTGCTAAAATTCCCCTATCCCTCTCCAAGCCCAGAAACAATTAAGGTATGGAAGATTGGCACTGGAATAAAAGATCTAAATAAATAGTGGCTTTTGAGGATATAGCCAAACCACAAATCATTATAGCATAATCAGAGTGGCTGAGATTAAGCCTGTCACTAATACAATTTTGTTTTTCTTTTTTACACAGGTCACTAATAAATTTGCTAAAAATTTAAAATGTATTATCTACATTTTTGGTTTGAAGTTTATAAAGATATATAAAGGGAGTAATCAATAAACACAAACAGCGTGAAGCATTACATGGAATACATTCACCAGCATATTAAAAAATATGCAGGTGACTCATTTTGCAACCCAGTGCCCTCTACCACTGAGGCTTATAGGCAAACCTGACTTCAATAAAACCATTTGGTTTGAAAGAACAAACCCTATATACTATTTTAAGTTAAAGTATTCACATCTTGACGTTCTAAATATATGTGCAAGTGCAAAAACAGCCAACAGCATTAACTGTGTGTCTTGTAAACAGTCACAACGGACAAGTTGGAAAAGCAACATTTACAGGGAACTGCACTGACCGGAAGTGTCACTTTGCCGGTTCTAGGAACAAAAAGGGTTAACACGCTTTAGGTCAGGGCTATTCAAGTGTTTATTCAAGGGCCAAAATGGTGAAACTGGCCAGAATCCCTAGTCCTAATGTAGTATGATCATTAATACAACATAATTGGCAAAGGTCCTGGGCCAGTTGCTAGATCTCATATGGCCAAATTCAACCCCCAGCCAGCAGCTGATTAGCCCTTCAGGCATTTAAATGTCAACAGACTTCAGCCCAATACCCAGAAGGAAACAGAAGACACATGAGGCAGGTCTCTAAGGTCAAGTGGTTATCAATCTGCTTAGCGCTCAAAAGGCTGTGAGTTTAATTTCAGACTCTTTAGTTCATGAGTAACTTGTTTTTAACTGTTGAGTAATTTTGCTTTTAAAGGATTTCTTTCCAGAATTCCCATGGGACATGATCCAATTTTTTTAACATAATTGAGGCAAAAGGGTTGAGACATATTTACTGCACTGACCTCCAAGATAACAGTACCGGGATGCTGACAAGCCTCCATCTGGTCCCTGAGCTCTCCTCAATCCAAACTCCAACAACACTATATCTGGTCCTGCTGCCAGTCTAAACCGAGCTGCATTTGTGGCTACCAAACTGCAAAAAGCGTGCATGAATTTTAGAATGCTCAAGTCCCAGTAAGGGTTTCAGGGCCCCCTTTTGGGATTGTGGGTGGGGAGAGTATAGACTCACTACCACTTAACAAGTATGTTATAAAAGGTAATTAATTAAGGATTCACTTAATTCAAAGTGTCACTTAAAAAACATAGAAATAGCTGCATAGATGTAAACAAAAAACACAACATGCCCACCACCCTTTTAAGGATGAACACAGAAGAAAACAAAAAGAATGTTTATTAATGCTAGAATGTTAAGACTGTAATTGGGAGAACGAATGGGTGATCTAAGTGTTTTGACAAAGTCAAAAGGCAATGTGTCAGCAACAATAGAATAACACCCACCCTCTTCTCCAAATCTGGTTTTATCACATGTTTTTTTTTTTTATTTCCTTAAATCTTAAAATAGCTAAAATCTCTGCCGACGCTCAACACTCAAGGGAAGGATGAGACAGATATAAGATCAGACGGTTACTGGTGCTACAGGAATTTGAACTCTTCGCTTGCTACTGAAGATGGAGACAGAGCACTTATGGGAGTGCCCTGAGTGCTGTGATGTTGATTCTTAACTCTTCTTCTTCTTCTTCTTCTTGTTCACCGGCTGTGAATTCCGGCGGTAAGTCACGGTTGTTCGTCCAAAATGGACTTTTGGCTTTTACCTTGACCTGAGTTTTGCGTGTACATCCGTTTTACTGGCTTATTTGTTTGCAGTACTCGTTCCCCGCCTTTCCGGCAGATGTACTCCGACTTCGGAGGAAGACGTCAAGCCTATTTCTAGGTTGACTGTGGCCATTGTTTTGTGTGGGTCGAGATGTTGCCTCATTTGTGTGGTGTCCTCTTTGACCTTCAACAGGTGTGGCCCCCGGTATGTCGTCCTTAAGGCAGCTCTATGTAGAGTTTTCAGCCCTCAAGGGAAGGCAGGGGCAGATCATGGACATTCCCCGCCATCCAAGGAGGCTTCCATAAATGCAGAGCCGACACATGATGCTCTGGGTTCTGGGCTCACCCAAGGAATCGTCACGTCCTGCCCATGACTGCTTAACCTCACAACCGTGTATTGAGCTTCCCGCGCTACAAGGCTGCGCTCTCCAGAGATCAGCGGGGAGCAGCCCGCAGGTCTAGGACGTTTGTGGCCACACAAATAGGTACATTCTTTTTCATCTTACGTTAGACACCTTTAACGTTGTTTCAGCTGTGCCCTTAGCACGACAGAATGGGGAAGCAAAATGCGACAGGCGTGGCTTCACCTGTTTGGTCCCAACACTCGGGCGAGTTGGACCAGTGGGTACGGACATTCAGACTTTTCCTAATCGGTACGAGTTATGATCGTCGGACTTTGAGCTTGCATGTGTGCCGTAGGGTGTAACTTTGTTGGACATTGTTTTCAAGCCATATGAATAGTTGCTGCCATGGTGTACCTCAGCGCGGTGACGACGACACTGAGGATTGACAGAGGATGTACGTGGGTGGGATCTTGCTGCGAGAAGTCGCCCACAAGAGATGTTACTCATCTTGGCTGCGGGTAAATCTCTCGGTCAGGGTTGAGTCTCAGCAGCACAGTTTTCCATTCGCTCCCGAATTTTAACCAAGAGTTGTCATTTGATGGTACATTTAGCAAGCAGTCCTTGAGTTTTGTTACTTTTCACCCATGCGTTTGGGGGCGGGCTGGTGAGAGCCAGAAAGGACTCTACACCTCTAGGGGCCGCCAGCTCCGAGATCCCCTGCCAACTCTGTTAATGCTCATTTGAGACATTATCCGTGGCGCACGACGGGGACGTGCAACAGGAGTCTTGCATGAGGTTCCGTAAAACCAGAACAGTGAAGGACTGGCGCCCGAGTGGGGTACGGAATATCTCCTTATACACATCACATCAGACTTAACTTCCCCTCATGCCTGTGACCGAAATCACCGCGCCACGATTCTTAACTCAACATCAAACCTTTTTTTTTAAACAGCTAAAAGAAAATCATTTTGACAATAATGGAGAATTCAAATAATGTTGTTAGAAACAATACCTTGCACAATTTACTGCCTGGCACATTCTGCTCTCGTCAAGTGCATTATTGCAGAATTAAATCCAACACATAATGAAGAATACAGAAAATGAATCCTTTTCAATAAAATACATAAATCAACAATGTCAAGTTTGGCTGCACCTCTCTCCACCAGAAATTCAACTATGTGATTACTATGGTAAGTTCAAATTTATCACATGCTCTTTCTGTTTACATATAACAGGAGAGTTCAGTTTTATTGATTTGGCTTCAGCCAGTTTTAGAAAATGTCTGTTCAATGTGCAGTAAATAATTCTGAAGGGACAGTCCTCATGGAGTACATGTCCATAATCTAGAAAATAACATCCTATTGAAGAACTGTATTCTATCTTCTTGGCTGATCTAGGTAATGCCCCTGATGAGATACAGCAAAATATGCCAGGCAATAAATTGTGCAATATATTGTTTGTGTCGACATCATTTAAATTTTCAATGGGAAAACCTTATTTTCAATTATAAAGAAGTCATACTAAAATGTTATTTCTGGTTTAGTCTTTAAAAAAAAATAGAACATTCTATCCCAGGGTCTTTTTAAGCACAAGTAGACATGACATAAGTGTTTCAATTAAAGTGATGGCTATATTTGAAAAAAAAAATTATTAACATTATACCAAAAAGAAAGTTCTCTCTATGACATCTCCTTCATAATCACACTACAGGTCTTTGGCCAACCCCTCTGTCGTGAGGTGCCTTGAGACTTGGCCAACCCCTCTGTCGTGAGGTGCCTTGAGACTTGGCCAACCCCTCTGTCGTGAGGTGCCTTGAGACTTGGCCAACCCCTCTGTCGTGAGGTGACTTGAGACTTAGCCAACCCCTCTGTCGTGAGGTGCCTTGAGACTTGGCCAACCCCTCTGTCGTGAGGTGCCTTGAGACTTGGCCAACCCCTCTGTCGTGAGGTGCCTTGAGACTTGGCCAACCCCTCTGTCGTGAGGTGCCTTGAGACTTGGCCAACCCCTCTGTCGTGAGGTGCCTTGAGACTTGGCCAACCTCTCTGTCGTGAGGTGCCTTGAGACTTGGCCAACCCCTCTGTCGTGAGGTGCCTTGAGACTTGGCCAACCCCTCTGTCGTGAGGTGCCTTGAGACTTGGCCAACCTCTCTGTCGTGAGGTGCCTTGAGACTTGGCCAACCCCTCTGTCGTGAGGTGCCTTGAGACTTGGCCAACCCCTCTGTCGTGAGGTGCCTTGAGACTTGGCCAACCCCTCTGTCGTGAGGTGCCTTGAGACTTGGCCAACCCCTCTGTCGTGAGGTGCCTTGAGACTTGGCCAACCCCTCTGTCGTGAGGTGCCTTGAGACTTGGCCAACCCCTCTGTCGTGAGGTGCCTTGAGACTTGGCCAACCTCTCTGTCGTGAGGTGCCTTGAGACTTGGCCAACCCCTCTGTCGTGAGGTGCCTTGAGACTTGGCCAACCCCTTACATAGGGAAGTGTCAGGGCAGTGCTGTAGTCAGATTCTTGCTTGGTGGCTTTGGGTTCAAAGTGCAAGGCTGACCTAGCCAAAAATTGTAAAATAGGAAATGTCCCGGGAAGTAAAGGCAGCTTGTGCGATGTGATCTCATCACCTAGTGAGTGTCAACTGGTACAGAAATATGGGTTTAATATCATATGTCTGACGTGCCAATGACATAAAAAAGCCTTTCCTTTTTATTGTATTTATACAAAGAGTTATATTAGCAAATTGCTTATAGCTGACATAGAGAGCTGCCATGGTGCAGTGGCTAGACGCTTGCCTGCGATCTGAAGGTCATAGGTTCAAATCCAAATAAACCCTGACTTTTTTTCAAGCACGACCTTGGTTGTCATGTCAACCCAACCTTACATGGATACCAGGTAAAGTCCTGGGAAACAGAGGCACGCGATGTGATGCTGATCACATTACCCACTGAGTGCCGGTTAGTCTATAAAATGTAGGTCTAGTATTTTATGCCCAATATGCCTGAAGACGTGGAAAAGGGTCCTTTACTTTACAGCTGACAAAGAGACAACATACCTGGCATAGTTGACGAGGTTCAGCAGCGGTGTCTCCAACAGCTGCACCACGGCCAACGGCCCTGTAACCGTGATGAGGGGAACTTTAGGAAATACCACCTCTCCCTCTGGGACAGCAGACAGTGTTATGTCTTTTGCCGAGACCGTTTTCAGGTAGTTGAAGAATTCTGGATCTGTTGTTGGTGGCATGACAATCTTCAGGTACTCAATGTCTGTTTGGAAATAAGATAAATATCTTTACTTACTTACATAGTTGATCCTTGTCTACCTTGAGGTGTAGAAATTTGCAAGAGAGATCCCTAGACTTCTGTATCAGAAGACCGGGGTTTCAAGATCATGATGAATATCTAGATCGCAAACTTTGTTCCTCTTTGTCCCTGGGACCACTTTTCTCAGATACCTCATTTCTGAAGCCAGAAGTTACTCTCTTTATTGTCTGTATTTACCAACCTGTATTGTAGGACAGGGAGATCATAAACCTGAGGTGTTAAGGCTGCATTGCTGCTAGTGCAGTGCTCGTGAACTGTACCAGTTCAGATTTGTATTTTTGCCCCTCACATTGAGAGCCCAATGTGCTAACCACTCTGTTAGCCATTCCTCTATAAGAGTAGAAGCTATGTAGAAAATTTATCTGCAAGGCAAAGGTTATGATTAAGAGAGGTCTGGTGGATGCTGTGAACAGGTAAATGGCTTATATCAGCAAATTATATTAAACAAAAATGAAACAAAGAGGACAGAAAAATTAAGAGAGAGACAAAAGGTTGAGAGAGAGAAAGTAAAAGAAAGAAAAAAAGAAAGTACAAGAAAGAGAACAAGAAGTACGTGAAATGCAGAGTAACAGCAAAAGAAAAAGAAGAAAAGTGATTAAATCAAGAACCACCATCATGGTATTCAGGACATTCCATTTGCGCTTTGTCCTCATTTTCAGCAGCCAACAAATAGTTAAAATTGTGATGGTACCAGTAGTAGTTGATGTCCATCATGTCCATCAATCCTCTGAGTGCAGGGTGTCGGCCAGATTCCCTGGTCACTCCCTGATGCACCATTCACATCCCATTATAATGATCTATTATTGCTACCACATTGTACGCTTGCTTTCAAGGGGATCTATCTTTTCAGCAAAAGCCAATCTGTATACCTATTCGTTATCCAACACACGTGTATACACTGATGATGACTATTGAACACATTCAGAATGCTGCTGATAAATGTTAACTTACCACTGTCAGAGAAACGGAAGCCTTGAAGAAGTCGGATGCACTCCTCAAGGCCAGCAAATATTGTAAACTCGCCCTGGAAGGGATTCTTGCGGAAGAAGAGGTCAAAGACAGAGTCATCGTTCATTTTGCCACATTTCCAGTACGCATACGCCATCGTAATCTGATATAAGTCTGTTTCGGAGGAGAATTTTAACACTTTAAAAAAGGTAAAGAGACATACTTATAAGTAAAAGTAATCGAGCAGAAGATGTTGTGATGTGTTCGGATGTTTCCGTTTCTCTGGACATTAATGTTTTATTGTGCTATTAGAAGGCATGGCAATCACAGCTTATAGTAATGGTAAGTATTTCCTTCTCCTCAAAGCATGAAGCCTGAGCAGTATTGTAGGGACTGTGTGTTAAATTTATACTAGATAATGATATAGCGATGTTAGGGTCATTCCTTTCTTTACGGAATGTCAGGATATCTGTTGCTTCCCTTTCGCTGTCTATATACACCGTGCGGAAAAGCGACTCCCATTCATTCGAGGCGTGTCACGAAAGTGTGCAGCTCTCTTTCATGGCAGATGACACTAAGCAACTGTTTTTGTTTTGCTTTTGTTTTTTTTTATTTCTGTGTGAGCGAGCGAGTGTTGAACTAGTTTTGTTTTCTTTCTCAGCTAGGTCTTGTGTGCAACCATCACTGGTTGGAGTAATCATGACAATCTTGGGCCCTGGCCTGAAAAGGGCCCACAGTTGAAGTAAACTCATGGTAAAGGTCAAGTCACAGGAAGGTCACAGAGCTAGCGATGAAAGCGAACGCACAACACAACTAACACAGACAGTGGTGGCCGCTCACAACGTGGAAAATAGGACGTGCTGGTGCTGCCAATGCAGAATACAGAATGCTTTCAGCATTAAAAATAAAAAAACATGACACCCCTTGAGGATAGTACAGCTAGTAGGAAATCTTGTGCCCAGCGAGATCCAGGCAGTTTCATGATATATACTAAAACACTCTGTATAGCATGTATCACTGGGTTTGTGAAATTATAAGTCATGAATACTGACCTGATTTGTGATTCTGATGATGGTGAGATGGTGAAACCTGACTAGCTATGCTTATCAGCAGGGCAAATGATGATAAGTGATCTCTGGGGTCAGGGGTAAGGTGAACCATACCAAAAGATAAGATGGCAAAAGGCAGAATGTAAGGCATCTCCTTCCTTCCCCCCTCCTGTGAGGAAACTCAAGGGTAGGTATAGATTACCCGCTTAGCTCCCCAATCAAAGTTACATAAGTTGTGGCAGACAGTAGCTGAAAAGTATTCATAACATGACACTACTTTGAATGTGGTAGGCAGAGTATGCCCTTATAGACACAACAGTAATGATAATTCACTCAAAACGCTGCATCCTGTATCTGTGAGGGCACATTAACAAATGTGAACAAAGTCGAAGGGAGTTTTTCCTCTTTTGCGTACACACTTTAACAGTTGATGAGGAGGGAGAAGGGTTTATGGCTAGGATGTAATTCTACACCAATGTTATTACCATATCCAATTCAAGTAAATCCTTAATTAGTCACCTTACAGAGCATACTAATTAGGGAACAATGGATCTATTCCCCCCCCCCCCCCCCCCCCCCACCACCCAGGCTACACACACACACACACAAATTGGGTCTCTGAACAAAAATGAGTCAAGGAGAGTTCAGAAACTGCTTTATTAAATAGGGAACTGCCATTGTCATCATCATTACTTGACGTGCCAGCAATCGTAGGCTGTCATGTTTTGCCATCTCATATTATCACTATAATCATGGATCAGGTCAATTTTCTTGTCTCACCCACCCCCATGTTTGTGACCAAGCCATCCAGCAGGATCATGTTAGCTTTGAAATTACCAAGACCCCTGTGTGGGTTCCAGGCCTCATTGTGGGGAAAACATGAATAGGCCCACTGCGTCCCAACAAGCATGTCATAAAGTCGACTAACTGGGGTGCTTTCTTTTAGACTGGAGTGCATCTGCCTAAGAGGAACCAACAGTCTGCATTTAAATATGCCAGATATGTAAAACGGATGTGCGTGCAGAATTCAGATTCTGAAATAAGACCAAAGTCAAGAGGTAGACAAACAACCAGAACTTTCTGCCAGAGTTTACAGCAGGTGTATGTGAAGAAGGAGAAGAAGAAGAAGAAGAATTACTAAGAAATGAATAGTATGCTGTTTGGTATTGAAAGAGCTAATGCATCTACAAAACAATGAAAATCCCTTGTATGTGCCACAGGTGGGCCCATACCATCATCTAAAGATAAATAAAAAGAAAGCTACATAGAAACAAAGTGAGAAGGGTGTTTGACAGTTTTACAAAATGGCATGCAAGAACATCTGTATGAGATGCGACCATCAGTACACAAGACAGACAACTGGGGACAAACATGATTATTAATGCAACATGGCATGGTCTTAAAAAAGATATATGGCTAGCACTATATGCCCAACAGGAAGACCCACTGGCATAGTGGCTAGAAAGTTGTCTGTCAACCCTCACAATCTTGGGTTCAAATCTGCACTGAGTCAAATTTGCTTAAAAAAAATTACACTGCTCCCAGTTGGCCCAGCCTAAAATGGGTACCAGGTAAAGTCCTAGAAGGTAAAGGTGGCTGGTATGATGTTGATCACATTACCCATCAAGTGCCAACTGGTCTATAAAAACACTAGTATCATATGCCAGATATGCTACTGACATGAAAATGGCTTTTTACTTATTTATTAGTACCATCTGCCCAATATGACAAAATGACCAAACATCACAAGTGTTGAACATCTGTCCCAGATAGGAGATGGGTGTTACATGTTCTAATATGGCCCCATCTACTTGATGTTCAGTGGTGGCCTTGCCTATCTTTGTCAGACTAATTAATTATTCAATCAATCAGGTGCTGTCTCTAAAACTGTAAATGAAAACTGGCAGTAAGAGAACTCCAACAGGTTCTGTCTTTTTCCCAGGATGTACACTATCACAGGTTATTGTTCATCCATCTCTTGATGTTATCCTCCCACTTGTGTCACTGTCTGCATTCTGTTAGCTTGACTTCGACTTATCCTTTCAGTATGGCTATACTGGTGTTTTCATCTTTTACTTTTAAATTTATTTAAAAAAAAATTATATCACCTGCATGCCCTAATGTAACAGTGAACAGAAAGCCTAAAGTTTTTGAATTGTTATTTACTCTTGCCGAGGACTTTTGCAAACCCGGGTGAAGCCTGGGATTTTTTCACCTGGACTTCTAGTAATTTTCCCCTGGTCTCTGAGTAGTAGGATTGAACGCCCGTGTGCATTGTTGCGCATGTAAAACATCCCTTGGCAATTGGAAATCGAAAAGAGTAGCCTAACGAAGCTGCTCGGGAAAAATTTGGAGTTGAAAATCCACCCAAAGTATTTCAGGATCCCCGCCGATACAACGGAGTTCGTGCAATGCGCTGAGACTCTTATGACAGGCTTGAGTTAAAAGAAGAACGGAGCGCTTACTTATATGCCTATGGGACCCTATAGGTTATACCCGTGAGCCGCGATGACGTGATTTTGATCAGTTGGAACAAAAAATATTATTATTTAATAAATTCTGTGTTAAAGAAAACCATAACTGTGGTGAGTTGCATAAGCAAGGCGGACAATGTAAGGCAAGACAAGTAATGAGTTGACAGTACAGCAGTCACAGAGAAAGATCAAAGAAGGTGTGTGGTTCATCATGCACTAACGACCGGGTGATGATTTTACATGAATGATGCACAGAAAAGACCAGAAAATGGCAGGAATAAGTGAGTCTCATATAGTTGGTACTAGCATTACCTGTCAACAAGGCCTGAACAACATAACTGCCGCCCATCTTGAAGATTTGTGAGTGTTCCTGCTCAACGATACAGTTGCTGAAGGCCGACATGTTTCTATCCTCTATTGTTTGTTTTGTGGTTGATGTAAAAACTATCTCACAAAACTTGTAATGTTCCGAATCAATTTACGTACAGTAGTTTGCTATTGCCCACTGGACGGTCGGCTTTTCGATTCTCCATACCACTGTCCAAAACCAGCGCAAGGCGCAAGGCCCGCAGCTGGGATCGAACCAGGCAGCCCGGTATTACGACGCTCGTTCACAACGCCTAAGCAACAGACGCCGACACATCCAAAGTGGCTGTAACTTTAACTAAAATATCTGGGTTTAGACTAGTTAAAATAATACTTTGAGACAGATGTGAGTTTCAGACAGTATAATTTACAACAGGATTGAGGTAGTGAAACAACATGATTGATTGATTTGATTCAAGAACCGTCATCACAGCACCCGGGGCATTCCCATAAGCGCTCCGTCTCCATCTTCAGCAGCCAGCGAAGAGTTCCGATACTAATGGTGCCAGTAGCTTTCTGATTAAATGTCCGTCTTGCCTTTCCTCTGAGACTTGAGCTTCTGCCAGAACCTCTCGTCACCCCCAACTGCATCAATCTCACCAAAATGTGGTGATCCATCTACTCCTCCGCATTGTACACGCTCTCCAACAAGGCACTAACCACGTCTGCCCTATCGTGTAGCAGTATTCCACTAAGTTGTGCATAGCCAGCCAGTCTGTCCGCCTGTTCATTTCCAAACACACCGGCGTGACCCGGTGAAAAAATCCAGACAATACTCCTCACTCGTTTCCTCCGCAGCGAAGCATGCCACTCTGCACGAAGCATACCTGTTCTGATCTTCCTCAGCATGCTTTCTGAATCAGTTAGTGAAACAACAAACATGGAGCAGTAGTTATGAAAGTAAACTTATATATTAAAATGTATGCTGAAACAACAGACACGTTGATACTGAATGATGTGAAGGTGATAGGATCGACTTCGTCGCACAGAATTTACCCTATAGCCTACGTAGTACGAGAGAATAAACCAGGCAATCAGCAGTAAATCCCCATGGTGATATCCGACTCTAGAATAGAGGGAATTAAACGGCATAAAAAAATCACTAATGCAGAGCTTGAGAGAGAACTAAACAAATTCCAGTTTCCAGGTAATCCAGATGTGAATTAATGACGCTGGCATTGGAGTAGGACACACTAAGAAAACACAACTGTATAACTAGAAAGGCTTTACACTGGAACCCACAGAGGCATAGAAATAAAGGCAGACCAAAAAGCATACGGAGATGGTATTAAAGATAACGTTTAAAAGACTGTGAGAATATAGAAGTCAGCTAGCAAAAAAAAAATAGGACGATTTTATGTGCGCTGGTTGAGGGCTTAAGATAAGGTCTTTTTGGCGGATAAAGGGTAAAAGAAGTAATAGTAGTAATCGTCCCAAAAATATCATGTACTACCCTCAGAATTATCTTCTTCTTCTTCGCGTTTACCAGGTGTAAAATCTGTTGGAAAGTTTTGGTTAGGACTTTATTCTTGTTCCAGAGCTTGAGTTTTGCGTGCACATCCGTTCTACATATCTGACTCATTTGTGCGCAGACTGCTGGATCGTTGCCTCTCTGACTAATGCACGCTGACTTTGAAGGAAGCCCCTAATTACGACCTGCGTTTAGCGAGACAGTGGGTGTACCCCCCCCCCCCCCCCCTTTTCGTTTCGCAAGGTGACTGAGAAGATTATTGCTGTTAACTACATTTGGGGGGGGGGGAGAGGAAAAGCTCCTGCCAAAAGGTTTGGGTGGTTACCCACCATGAAAAGATTTCTGGTCAAATGCAGCTACATTTGCTTTTCATGTTTATGAGAGCTTCCAGAACAGACAGGAGACAGTTTTGCAGCACTAGATCTCAAGGATGCCTACAATAGGTCAGGAATTATATTTTGCTATCTGCACTCATAAAGAAGTGGTTTTGTCCCTGGCTTGTGAACTGAATAGCAGCTGCCCTACATTCACGTATGGTTGCCCTTCGCCTGGGTACATGAACCTCAGAACCATGTAATAACGCCCCGGGACTACCCCAGGCTTCTGCAATATCACCAGTGCTGTTCAATGTGTATACAAGCAATATTGCAGAACTTAAAGCACCAGGTGTTGGAAGGATACTGATACCTCAAGATAAGCTCAGATCTGAAGCACCATTTGCACCACATGCTCTTCAAGAAAAGGGGCAATAGGCTTGAAAGGGGCAAATCATGGCTGGGTAGGGCAGAGGATGACATCATGCAGGTTTGCAGCCTTGCAGACATCCATCCAGGTAAGGAGTGTATACCAGCATCTAAAGCGCCCAGTCTCACATTCTCCTGTGTTGTGACGCTTGTTATGTGTTGTCGGGAGCAGAATCGAGCTGCTGTCAATGCCAAGGTATGCGCGCTTATCAGTGACAATTCAGATGAGATAGATGTAGTGATCTTCACAGACGGGTCCGTTATACAAAGACATACGAGTGCATGGGCATTTACAGCTCGCTCTTCGGGCAGAACCGTCCAGAAAGCCAGCAGTGCCTTCTCCATGACCACCAGCTGCATGACGATGGAGGTGATGGCGGTGACACAGGCTGGGATCACAGGACTATTCCAGCGTATGTGTGCTGAGTGATTCTTTGAGCATGATCCGGCGGGTCGAGGCAGGCTGGTTAAGTAGACAGTGGCCTGAGTCGTTGCAAAATTCTCCTGTGTGTGCAGTTACTTTCATATTCGTCCCATGGTATGAAGGCGTTGTTGGTAATGAGAGAGCTGATAGACTGGCAGGTGCTGCATTAATTGAAGATGGCCGGCCCATGGATCACGCAGACATTGTCATTGCCCTTAGAGAGCTAGGACGTTCTGAGGATTTTGGAAGCAACGTGTCCACATCACTACTAAGAATACGCGAATAAGGAGTAAAGATCGGCACAGCCAAGCATGAGAAGCCCACCGGACGCACACGAAGTCTTGTTAACCAACATAGGACTGGCACTGTTAACCACACGACGCTGGTGAATATGTTGAGAGCGCCTATGGGTGTGTCCAGAGTGCTGTGAAGATAATCTAACTCATAACTCAGGATACTGACATTTGCTGATGATATTCTTGCATATAGGCAGGGGAGTAGTAGGCAACTGGTAGTTTAAGAGCTACAGGCAACTGTAGACAACATGACTGACTGGTTTGCAGAAATGAGTGCTGTCATAAACTCAGAAAATGCGGCTATTTTGTAGTGCTCTCTGGACAATAGAATTGTAAGAGCTAATGTTCCAAACCTCACAGGTTTGCTCCTCCGATTTGTACTCCAAGGATCTAATCACGTCTGCCTTTTCATGTATCATTACTATCAGTATTCCACCAAGTTGTGCATTGCCAGCCAATCTGTCTTCCTGTTCGTTTCCCAGCACTCTGCCGTGCCCGGAAGAAAAACAAAATCCAGACAATGCTCCTCACCCGTGACCTCACCTTCCTCAACATGCTTTCTGAGTCAGTTACAATCACGATGTGTGTGTCGTGTTCTCCAGCCAGTGGAAAGCTGCAATGAGCGCCTCCATTCTTAGGCTGGTTGTTGTGGTATCATACGCCAGTATCTTCTGCACCAAACGTCGACTATTGGCTTTTATTAAGAACCCCCAAGCACTTCTTTTGCCTCCTGACACTGAACCATGTATATATAATTTCTAGTCCCTTCAGAACTTCAACCATTTCTGCGGCAAATATTGAGACGATGCTTGTAGTGCTGAAATTCATTTTAATTTTGGGATTATATTCCTGCTCCTATCATCTTTCCCCTTTGAACCGTCTGTATAAATCTTTGCTGTATGTGGCTAAGCTTTCGCTCTTCAACATTTCTGGTATGGCCTTCTTATTTTCAATAACTGCTAGCTGACAGTCATTTTCTAGTCTTTTAATTTCTAGGGTGGAAAAACAGGGGTGTATTTTCTTTTGAGTCTATATAAAAACGTATTGTAGGTCATAGTGTTGTGGTCATATTATGAGAAGAAGGAAACTGAAACATATTGTGACCACTAGAAAGATCTGTGGACAAAAACAAGACAGATGAAGACAACTCAAGATTTTCTTGACAGCCTTTTTTTGTGTGGTCATGGCATAGAGAGATGTCAGCTCACGAACTGATGCATGCTATTAAAGATCGCTGACTGTGGGTGAGTTTAGTTAAGTCAAGAATTGACATCACATCACTAGGAGCATTTCCATGCGTGCTCTGTCCTCATTTTCAGCAGCCAGTGCAGTTCCAATACTGCCAGTTCCGGTCAAAATCTGGTTATATGTCCATCTTGCCTTTCCTCTGAGTGTAGTGAGCCGGCCAGACAGTCTGGTTACACCCTGTGCCTCATTTTCTCAAGGCCATAATTAATAATATTCTTTTTCTACTGATTTCGTTGCTTGTTCCCAAAGGGCCTTGACCACATCTGCCTTGTCATGTATCAATTCACCACCCAGTGGTGCAGACCCAGCCAATCTGTCTGACTGTTCATTACCTACCACGCCGGCATTCCTGGAGAAAAGATGCGCAGATTGTGGAGAGGTATGATAACCCACACAGGTCACTTGATGATGAATAGAGCCACCAAATTGGGCCTCGCAACCCACACGGGGAATGGGGCTGACTGACTATTATTACTATGTACACCAGTTTTTACCCGTCTCATGGTGTGGCTTAGAAAGGCAGATTGTCCTTTTCTGAAAAGTGCAGTTTGTTTCATTGACCGAAAATATTGGTAAGCTCCGACAAATTAAACACAAAGCTACACTGACACAGGGAGCCAGCATGGTGTAGCAGATAGAAGCTCGCCTGTGAATCTGAAAGTCATGAGTTAAGGTCCTGGCGGAGCCGGACATTTTTTTGTAATGATCTTGTCTCCCAGGTCGACCCACCCTTAAATGTGTACCAGGTAAAATCATGGGAAGTAAAGGCAGTTGGCGTGATGTTGACATCATATACTGAGTGAAGACTGGTCTAAAAAAAATAAGTCTAGCCCTATATGCCCAATACACCTAAAG